AGGGAAGAGAGGAGGAAGGGGAGAGAAGAAGGATGAAAAAAAGAAAGAGGAGGGTGCCCTCATGGTTGCCAAGTGTCCTGAGACGATACCCTAGGCATCTTGTGGTGCGATAGTCCGTCAGATTACGGTATCCCCAATTTTGCATCTAAATTTTTTTTGAAATCACGAGATGTCGTGAGCTTTGCTATCCTATTTCCTCCTCGATTTTCAGCTGCTCGGTAGCGTTTAGTGCTGAAAGATGCAAATAAACATTTGTGAATCATAAGGCTAATTTTCGCTCGGGTTCTAAGGAAAAGCCCTTCCGTTAGTGACTTGGGCGCTCTGCGCCAAAGTGCTTGTCCAAAAAAATTAAATGAAATCCTGAAAACAAGCTTGAGGAGCTCATGTACTGCTAGGAGGCTGACCCTTTCCCTCACCAAGAATTGCAGAGCAGAGATGACCAAAGTCGCCATGTGATGAGCCATGAACGCTGCCTAAAATATCTGTGGGATGGGCAGTAGGTTTTTTCTCATCTGCTCCCTCTCAGCAAGGGAGCGTTCGCTGAGGATTGATTGTGGTTTTCTGATTTGCGGTGTTTTCAAGTACGGCACGCGAATGTTACGCTAAAATTGTGAAGTTTCCAAAGGATAAAATCTCCGCTTGTTGGTAAGAAAACATTGAAAATGAAAAATAACGGACTATGTCATGAAAGTATCTTTTTTTCTTTTTTCTTTTTCTTTTTTTTGCGTTCTCCTTCTACTCAGGATCGTAGTAGCTTATTGAGTTCTACAATGTGGCTTGCACAGTGACATATGGGGGCAATTCGATGTACAAGTCAAGATTCTCATACTCGAGGCGATTTGGAACCATTTAGCCTTTCCTGGAGGGTAAGGCTCTTGGTCTGGGCGGAAGCCGATTCGAGATTTGACCCCTGGATAGAGTGCGTGGTAAGATAGAGTGATGCTAAGCGTTCCACATGCCACCACACCACCTCCGCCATCTGTTTCGCTGAGCTAGAGGTGGTGAGGCATTTTTTTTCAGAAACAAACTCCTGAAAGGGGTTCTGCTTCACGCTGTGAGCCTCTTTCGTGTATTAAAAGTCTGTATCGTTGGTAGGGTGCAGACGAGCGAAATAGCTGCCAATTGGCCCTAATTTCTATTTTTTTTTCTGAGCGTTGTGTTTTTCTAATCATCGTCAGCATCACACATGTAACACTTTTTTTAACGAAGAGATCTAATCAATTTTTACATCGAATTTATTTCTTTTCCACACCTGTATCGATTGCTTTGTGTTGATGGCGACGTGTGTTTTTCTTCCGCCTCCGCTCTGTGTTCCGCTTTTTTCATACTTTTTTTCGAGGTCTTTTTTTTACAGTCGTACCCGCAATGCTGTCTATTTCGGGTTTTTGTAACGTTCGTTATCGGTTTCTCTCCGTGCAACGTTTTTCTCCGTATACCAAGGTCTTACGTCAACTGGAAATTTAATGTGGTGACGTTACAGACCGCGCCAACGGGGTTGGCTGGGCGCTCGGCACTCATGGACCGACTAAGCCCAATATCGACCGATTCTGGGTTTGAGTCATGTTGCTGTCCATCGAGTCCTACCACATCATCATCTAGCGCCAAGGTTCGTGCCCGTTACCTTCTCTTTCCCCTCGTTTATTCCTTATTTTTTTTGTTCGATTTTTATTGATGGCGGTGCGGTTTCTCAGTCGAATATTCGCTCGCAAGAGTGGCTTTCACTTTGAGAACTTATAAAGTGAACGAAATAGTAAAAAAAATTTGAGCGGAGTTCCACCGATTTCATTTTTTGGGTTTTGAAGGTCCCCAAAAGTTTCTAGAAAGTTTTTTTTCTATTCAGTTTTTTTTGAAAAGCTTTATCTTATTGAGAAGATTTTAATTCATAGATTTTGTTGGGATGCTATGTTTACGCTTTTGCTTTTGGCAAACTGCATTATTGATTGAATTCAAATAGCGATTCAGCAGCGCATAAACTCTATTCAATGAAATTCAATTGAATTCGCCGGAATGCGTAATCTATGGGGATTCTAGGGAACGATTGGTGACGCTATTGAGCTGCTCATTTATTTGGGAAGGGATTTAAGGGAGTAAGTGAAGCGTGACTTTTTTTCTCGTGCTGCTTTTTGACTGTATGTTCTTGTTAAACTTACCATTCACATCTAGTCTCTTTTTCATTGTTTTTGTAGGGTCAAAAATGTGTGATATCTAAACGAACTGGATGCAGAATTCATTGTAGAGAACCCCAGGGACTAATTATCCTGTAACTATCATAAGGTGTGCATAAAGGACGTCATTCGGAACAGCTGGAGGGCGGAGTCGGCGAGCTACGTGGGCATTTTTCACTCTCTGCGACCGCCAAGAATCAGATCGGCGAAAAGAAATAAATACGTATTGATTGGGAGAATCTTCAACCACATTCGAAACATCATCCTATTCTGTCAATCGATACGTATAAAAACTTTTTCGCTGTTGCGCTTCGAATCCCCGGATTCGCAAGCTGTAGCAAAGTCTTGGCGCGACTTCCTTCTTCCCGCCTTCTATAGAGATAGAAAGCGCGGGAATAGGGGAGGCGGGCTAATGAACTTGCTCGCTGAATCCGCCCACCCAACTGTCCTAGTTGGTTGCAGAATTGCAGCGAATGGCTATGGTGAAAAGACATTTCGTCGTGAGTTGCAAAATGAGTGCGCTATACTATGCTTGACCTCTTCCTAATCCACATAAATTGGTGATTCTTAACGTCCATGACTTTCATCAAAACAGCAGTAAAGTTTCTCATGACCAACACTTCATCGTACCTCTTTAAAGAACATTTTAATGACCGGTATTTGTATGAGGAGGGGCGAAAGTACAATTGACGTTGACGCCATATCATCCGCAGCTGACGTGACTGCAGCGTTTTACCTGCCCAGTTCGGTCATGACTGCTCTAGAGGATTCGGTAGTTGCAGCCAAGATACACTATGGATGTGATGAAAGCTGTAATTGGCGGATAACGTGGAGGAAAAAGCTTATTCCTCTCCTTGCTAGTACACATAGTTATCGAGGGTCATGCTGTTTTAAGAGGCGCAGAGCGTTCATTGATTGGGTACAGATATAGGGTCCGCTTTTTCTGAGACTTTCTGAGAAAGCAAAAAAAGCAGGGAAATTGGTTCATGGATCGGGAAATTTCACATGTTTGCTGTTTTTGGCGTTTTCGAGCCGATTCGTGTTTGCCGGTAATTTGGCATCGCTAGCCCGGTCCCATATACCCAAAAACTAGTGTTAGGATTCGTTCTGAGGCCGCATTCAAGTTCTGTGGTTCAGATTGGATTTCGCATTCTACATCGTTCAAATCTCCATGCCAGTTAAGTAATCACTATTGAATCGATGGGAACCTGAAATGATTTTCCCTTTCCATACACCAGGAAGCAATCAAGCCGTTCAATGGTCTGCCTCGTGGCTGCAGATCGAGGTAGAGCCCTAATGGGGGAATTTCACACGGGGATCATGCTCGGTCACCTGAAGATGGGGTCGTATTTGCACTTACCCTGCTTCATGTTAGCTACCCCCTACACCCACTTAGTTGCCTTCGCCGCAGAACTACTATTTCTGATTGTTGAATTGGTGGTTTCCTGGTGCGTACCCACGCTCAATGCCAGTTTTTCAAAAACCATTGTTGTTTCTTTTGGTTTATCTGATCGTAATTAACTCAAAAGGGAGCGGAATACAGGGCAAAACTATTTTTTTTTTTTAACCACTTTTTGATTTGAGGGAAGATTTACTGCTACTTCCGGCTGAAGGGGCATGCGAAGACACGCTAAATCCCTTTAAATTTTACCCTCTAAATGACAAATTCATTAACTGGCACTTATATTTGATTACTATTATGAATGAACAACTCGAATTTTAGCATAAAATCAAATAATCTACTTCATCGGGGCTCTCCTGGTTTTGTTATGATGAGTTGCTTTCATAGTCTTCGCGCCTATAAGGAAAACTCATTAGCGGGGGGGGGGCATTTTTGTAATGCCTCGAAGTGCCACGAGTCTCCTTTATACACCTTTTACAGAACTGTTTACTTACTCCGTCTCTCTTCCATTTTGGCTCATGCCAAATCTCCCTCTGATTTGCAGCCATTTCTTCGTGCCATCTGCACCAACATAAGAATCAATAAAAAGAAAATGGTAAAGGAATGATAATGAAACCCGTATCTTTTCGTTAGCGGTTTCACTTCCTGTGAACGTGCAGGGCCATTGTGGAAACGTTCCTGCCGCGAATCGATTGGCTTGGTTTTCTTTCATTCCTTGATTATCGTCAATTTTCGGTTCATCAAACTGGAGCGTTGAGTCGGCACGGATTAGATTTTTTGACATCACCTTTCTGCACCTTGTGTAAGCTCTCGATTTGCGGGAATAGCTTGATTCTTGTTGCCAACGCAATAATCAACAGAATGCTTCCACTTCCATCCCGAACCGCATCGCCATCTTCTCATGTATAAACGCTAGGTGCCATCAATTCGAACTCAGAGGCATAAAGCACGATAACTACTGCTGGATCTAAAATGATTGCAGGGGTGCTATAGTTGAAAAATGGCGAATGAAACGGTCAAAAACCTGCAAAAAATGCTTTGTTCTACACGACTCAAAAAGCCATTTCGGATTAGTTTCTCAATGGCATCGTGCCAGCGCTGCTACGGTAGATACGGCTGCATGTATGAACTCATATATCCATGAAGGACCACGGCCGCTTGATTCAATCCTTGCGCTTCATGCTGTACTTCGCAATGAAGAGCATCAGCATCAGTCGGACATTTGTGGGTGGGCGGGCGTGGTAGGTATCCGGTTCGGTATGTTGCCGCTTGGTAGGGCGTAATAAGGGTACCATACTTGGAAAAAGGTGTCCTGCTCTGTCCTGCTAGGCGTATTAAACCTACACGTCTCGGGGATTTATCGTGCCACATGCCTTTAACCCGAGCTGTCTTTGCGAATGCTTCGAAAGCTGTAAAAAAATCGAAACTTACAGTTTATTCGTTCAACATGTGTGACGTCTCCGCCCTCCACTTCCACAACCATAGACCAGCCTGCCACTGATGCTCACAATGTCATTTGTGACTTAACGCCGTCAAGCAGTGAAATTTCACTATATCGTGAGGTGAGTTACGAGTTACGTCTAACACTACCCTTATCTATCTTTGCCTTTTGCCAGGACTCTATTTCTTTGGACTCAGTATCCACCTCCTCCCGAACCAACGATTTCTCCTCTAGCTGCGTAGCCTCTACTTCGACTCAGGGTCAAAGTTCCGATTTTAGTGGTGAGAACTTGTTCAGTCCTTTTTCCTTTTTGTCCTACCGCTTTTAGATGTTTATGTTGATGTTGAATCATCTACTCGTTTTCTTTCAGATGTTTGTAGCTCTGAGGGGCCATCAAGTTTTGTTGATGGTGGTTCAGTCAGGTATCACTGCTTATGGAGTGGTTGTGATAGCATCTTTAAGACGGCTGATCATCTTTACGATCACGTCACAGAAGTGAGTTTTTGAAATTTTCTTCTACATATGTAAATCCTAATTCATCAGATTTCCCCGTCTTTTTTTAATGGCGTGAGGAAAGTGCGACCCGCTTACGACAAAGCCACCGCCCCGCCCTCTGGTCAAGGCAACGCCCAAGTTTCATTTCTTAAGGCTTCCTGGTTGTGTTGCTGTTTCGCTGCTAACTCTCTCCCATTTTTAACAGTGGGAGTGAGGTGATAGGGGAAGACCTGATCACCCTGGGTTTAGCATGGGGTTCCATAGAGGACGTTTCCGGGTGGTTTTTTCTGCTTGTTCTTTTTCTTCACTACTGGACCACTACTACCTTGCCATTAGAAATTAAGCGACCAATTTCCTCATTTTTGTACCCGGGATGTAAACTTCAATATTAACTTTTGATCTGATGATTAAAGGATTTTTCCAAGCGTTCAACAACTTTTCTTTCAGCTTCATATTAATGTTTTACGGGATATACCCCTTGACTCATCGAAGGCTAAGCAACAAGAAAAAGAAGATGATGAGCCTATCAAATGTCACTGGGGTGACTGCACAATGTTTCTACGGCGTGGAGATCAACAGAAAAAGGTGTGAGCTGCCTTTGTCTCGTTTTTACGACTTCCTGTTTAGTTCGTTTTTCGATTCACATTTTTTTTGTTCAGTCCAGTTCCACATTTTCCATTTTCTCCGTTGCATTTGTCTTTTGTCTTGTTAATATCATTTTACATATTTAATGCTATTCATTTACTACTTTAAACCTTTTTAAACTTATTCCATGCTTGTTGAAGAGATCCTACTCTGTGGAAACCTATAGAAGCCTAAATTTATCGCAGACAACCTTAGTCTACTTAGTAATGGCGCTGTCGTGTTTTACTGTGGGATCCTTTTTGCATAAAGAATTCGCATCCCGTCACCGATGAATGCGCTTTTATAGGTATTCCTACTCCCGCTGCGCTATGGCCATGAATTTTGTGTTGCGAATTGATGCAATAGATGGTCGTTATGCAAACGTTAACGCTATTAATGCATTCAATGGTTCGCATCCAGTTCTCGCTCTCAAGATCGAATGATTGGCATAAAACCCTGTCACAGTAATTATGGCAGTCTTGCAAGGATAATTTTGTTCTTGTTGGGTCGCTGATTAGTATGCAACGGAATGAAGGATAGCAGGTTCTAGTTCATTTCCTGGGAGGTACTTGTATGAAAGGACTAGCACGGTATTTCCTAATAATGTTTAAAGTTGCCTGGACACACACTGGGGCCAAATATGAGTCACATTCAGTGAGTACTGTTCCGTTATCCGTGTTTGGGAGCGAAATTAAGCTCATGGTCAACAGAAGCGACCGAATCTCATAGAGATCTTACTATTAGGTTGTCCGGAAAGTTCTTAGCGTTTTGGGTGTTTAACTTTAAACGATCATAACTTTCTTAACACTCATCGGATTTAATCCAAATAAGCACCATTCGAATCAGCACACTTTTGCCAATGTGACAGCAGTCGAGAAATCCCATCAAAGAAAAAACTGGGTGGTCGAGAATCCACGAAATCTGCGAAGGTCTTTTTTGCCTGGTCCTGATTGATGAAGTATTTCTCAGCAAGGAAGTTCTGAAAATGTCTGAAAAGGTGACAGTCGGTTGGTGAAAGGTCTAGAGAATATGGTGGGTGAGGTAGAACTTCAACTCCCAATTCGTTCAATTTATGGATAGTGATTTGTGAAACGTGTGGGCGGGCGTTGTCATGCAAAAGAATCGGACCCTTTCTTTTGATAAGTGTTGGCTGCAGCTGACAATATTTTCGGTACATTTGGTCGGTTTGTTCACAGTAGGGTTCTGCTGTGATGGTTTGGCCTGGTGATGAAAAGTTATAGTGGATTACAACAGCCGATGACCACCAAACCTGACCAGAATTTTTTTTTCGCGAGGGTTCGGCTTTGAAAATTACCTCGGTGGTTCCTCCAAATCCAACCACTGTCCGGAACGTCTCCTGTTATCATACATGATCCATTTTTCATCACAGGTGACAAATCCGTTCAAAAACGGGTCAATTCTTTTGCGCAAAAGCAGTGAAGAAGGAACCTCGAGACGTGCCGATTCCTGCCGGTCACTCCGATTGTGGGGCACCCAATTGTCGAGTTTTTTCACCTTCCCAATGCGTTCCAGACCATCTGCAACAGTGGATTTGCCAAGGCCTAGCTCTTCTGCTATCTCTCGAACTGTTTGGGATGGGTCAACCTTCAAAATCCCCCTAAAATCCTCGTCAGATATTGCTTTAGGTCGACCGCTATGAGGCTCACCTTCAAGGCTGAAATTTCCAGAACGACATTTGTTGAGCCATTGCGCACAGTGCTTTCTCTAGCACTATTGGGCCCCACACCTGGTTAATTTGTTGAGCTGTTTCGATTGCGGATTGCCCCAATTTATAGTCGAAGAAAAAAATCGTCCGAAGTGCTCTTTTCACATGCTTGAAAAAATCTTGAAAAAAGAGGGTTTATCAAGCAATGGTGAAACGGCAATTATACCATCAGATAGCGCAAGAAATTCTCTACAGGATGTGCTACTGAGAAGCAAGGCAGAATGAGTTTTTAATCAGCAGTGAATGTACAAAGATTAGGTGCACAAAACGCTAAGAACTTTCCGGACAACCTAATAAGAGACATGTCCCTGCGCTTCAAAGACAGCTCCCGCGATAAAAGTGTCATGGATAGTTGCTGTTCAATTATGAAACAGTAGCTGATAAGTAATTCCCCAAAGAAGAAAAAAGCAAGAAGAGTCCTCAAGAACACCATAAACAAAATCGCTCCCTGACAGTCACACCTCCCTGCGGTCTGTGCAACCCCTGGCTCACAAATCCCTTTATCACATCTCCCAGTAGTGGATATCATCCAATGCAAAGAAAAGAATACGAAAAACAACAAAAACACGGAAGAAAAACTCTTGAAAAGGAAAAGAAACTTCAAAAACTTGGTCCGAATTTAGGGTTACGGTGGCGTGCATCTTTTAGTGTAGTGTTGTGCGTCGAGCTTTTGCACCACGAAAATTGCATCACTCGTGATTTTTACGCGTTTTACCTTGCAAGATGGGTTGCATTTGACTGAATGCGCTCCTAATGATAAAATGTAATAAAGGAGAGCATAATCAATTATGAGCACGAGCGCGGTCAGCAAAAAGGGCATGCAATTCCGATTAATGCCCGCCGCCCAACAAAGAACAACTGAGCGGCCCTCCGTCAGAGGGCATCTAGCAAGTGGGCGGTCCAACTGGGCGGGCGTTAGAACTAGAACTTTCAGCGGCTGTAGCTCGCTCCTCGCTCGCTGTGGAGTCGCGAGAGTGGGACAGTCTCTAGCTTGGGGGCTCAATACTGCACAAGGAAGGACGACCATGTACTACTTGAGCGCAGGGGCTGTCTTCAAGCAGCCCATAGGCATCTTCATGCTATCGACATGCTCCTGACTCAGGTTATCGCACTTTCGCGGCTTCACAGTGAGTAACGAGGACTCTGAAGCCCTCACAAGTGGAAGTCACGCCTACCGAGTTGCCCCGCCACCGAAACTCAAGGCTATTTCCTGCCACGATTTCAGTTCTTACACCATGTCCTTTGCTTTTTTTCACCACTGTTAGCTGGTATTAGCATTGCATGATGAGAAGAAACGATAAGAGAGCGCCAGAGGCGGCAGAATATCGCTTCGAAGGCATAAAACGAGAAGTTCCTGAAAGCTCGTTCAGAAAAGCAGCTGGTTCTTACTAAGGGTGCTTTCCTTCAATTTTTTTACGTCTTCTCCTCCCTGGAGGGTCATTGGGCGACTACAGGTTTGTAATCGGACGCTTTTATCTACAGTATACAGTAAGTTTGTCTTAGAGAGTTGTTATTTCATTATATTCATTTATTAAAAGTGGAGGGGTTTTATTTATTCCTTTTTGGAGGGGCATCGTACCGATCACCCGATTTCCTGATGGCTTTGGCTCGATCCTACTCGTCACTCACCGTCGATCGCTGGATTTGTCTTGAAGATGGTTGCAGAAATGTAAATTTGGGTGCTATCCGGCTATGAGGAGAATTTTGAATTTTCTTGAGTTCGTTTTGCTAGCTCATGTTGACTGATAGAACCTGTAACTTTTGGAAAGCTGTAAAGTTACAAAAGCGGGTCTATTCGGTTATGGGGTAGGGTCATGGTGATTTGTACAAGCTCCGCTGACCATGAGTCCTACCTGGCGCCCCCACCGAGCCGAACTCCGCAGAAACTCTTGCGGCCATAGTCATAGCCGTGTTACTTTCGTTAAAGAACACAAAAATGTTTTATGATGATCTGTTCCATTGCTGTAAAGCTTGACAGCTGGGGTGACTACCTGGATAGTTCAGAATTCGTTCTTCTACTCTTTAAACGTACACTGACGCCTTTTTAGTAACCTACTTTTTTTAGATCTTCGTCATTTCTTTTGTCCGTTCCGT